ATCAACCAATCGTGCAATCAAGCATGGCATTCGTCAGATAAGAAAGTGAAAAAAGGCAATTCCACAGCCCAATTTCAAATTTTTTTATTTTCTGAATTTTTTTGATTTTTTAAATATTTTTTTATAAAAAAATAGTTGTTAATATTATAATATTATAATAATATAAACAAACCAGGGTCGGATCTCCACATTCAACCCGACTCGGGCGCACCTACCCCGGTCCACAACTGTACTGGGCTCATTACTAGGCCAGTCCGACCAATCCTAAAAAAGAACTAAAATGGAAGGCCCAACCCACTTTTTATATATATATTTTTAAAAGACCAAAACTGGCCTAAACCTATTTCTATTATCTAAGCCCAGCCCAAAAGGAGAAGAATAAAAAGGAGAACCAGGAGCAAAAGTACACTATAAGTGCCATAAATTGTGTACGGAGGTCACTTTGGTGCCGTAACTTTTTTTCAGATCACTTTGGTGTCAACTTTTTTGAAAAACGATCACTTTAGTGCCAATACTGACATGGCTTGCCGAAAATCTAACGTGGCTCTTTTTTATTAATATCCGATGCTGACGTGGCTGGTCGGAGAGTCCAGTCAGCCCTTATAGCGAAAACGATGCCGTTCAACCTTTCTCCCCCTAATATAAGAACCCTAAATCGGTTAATTGGACATATTCCTCAATTGCAAACCCTAACCGGCCATATCATTTCCCTGTTTTCCCTGAAATTGACAGCTGAATGTTGCAAATGGATGGCAGGAGCTTCATTAGCAGCTCAAATTCGTTTGAATGAAGTGAAGAAGAAGGTCGGTTCTTCTGCTATTGTGGGTTACCGAGTCTAAGAAGAATATCTTGGACTCGATTGAACCCCGGGAGAAGATTCCATGGATGCGCCAGGTATAGAGAAGGCTCGAAGTGCAAATTCTTCAAGTGGGTTCATGCGAAATTTTCAAATCGAGCAACAGAGGTGATAATGAAGCTACTTGAAGCTCGACATTAACCTCCACCTACATTAATGGACGAGTTGGACAATGTCGACTCATTGCAAGCTGAAATGAAGGCTTTAGCATGTCTGGCCAACCATTTGAAGAAGGAAGTTCAAAGGATGAAAATTGAAAGAAAGTGTTATCGATTGTTGATTGTGTTATTGATATTCTTTATAGCCTATTTTATGGTCAAATGTAATGTCAGTAATGAGCAAAAGTTTCTTAGTCTACCATAATTTAAGATAGGCTTGTACTATGTACTTGTATTCAGCAATTTGTAGCTACAGTTGTGTTATTAGTTTGCTGCAATTTATGTATGTAACAAGAGGTTTGTTGCAATCTATGACAAATGGAATGTTGGAATTTATTGATTCTCAATCTTGAGTTGCTTAGTATTTTATTGCTGCATATTTTGATGCAGTTTTTCCTCATTGGCAGCATATTTTGTTGCATATTTTTGCTCATTTGCTGCACTTCTTCGTTTGCTGCATATTTTTGCTCATTTGCTGTCATTTGCTGTACTTCCTCATTTGCTGCATATTTTTTGCTCATTTGCTGCATATTCACTTGCTCATTTGTTGCATTTTTTTATCTGGTTAGATGGTTGCATATTATGGAGTAAGGCTCACTACTGGAAAATAAGGTGTTGCAAGTGCTGCAACTCTGCGTAGCAGCAAATCATGGAGTCGTCACAAGTTGAGCAGTTGACATTTTAGTGCCAAATATTTATAATCGTGATCACTTAAGTGCCAGTCGTGGTTCAAAAGTGATCACTTAAGTACCAGTTGTGGTTCAAAAGTAATCACTTAAGTTCCAATCGTGGTTCAAAAGTGGTCACTTAAGTGCCAATTGTGGCCGCAAGTGGATCACTTAAGTGTCTTACCGTGTGTTTCTTTGAAAAGGGGAGACTTTGGTTCCAACAAACCAATCTTTAAACCATATCATTCTAAGACCAAAGCAGTAACTGTACCGGCACTGCTCACCAGCACCAAACCGCCCCAAACCATACTCATAAACTGGTTCAAACAGCTCCCAAACCATATTCAATCACCAGCACGAAATAGCCCACAAACCATTTCAAAAAACCGATTCAAAATGCTTGCACCAGCACGTGCTGGCATGCTGGTGCAAGCACCATACTGCACTCCCAAACATGACAAAATCAGCAACTGCCATACTGCACTCCCAAACAGTACAAAATCAGCAGTTGGTGCAAACACCATATGCACTCCCAAACAACACAAAATCAGCAGTTGGTGCAAGCACCATACTGCACCTGAAAATAGCACAAAAAATCAGCACTGGCAGCACCAATTCCCACCCTCCCCGCCAACTGCATTTCAGTGTCAAATAGCACATATTGAATCAATTTCTTTGAATATTAACTTACTGGTGCAACTTGCAAGTACCCCACTACACCAATACTATACTAAAACAGAACAAACACATGTGCAAAAATATGGAAATCACAACCACCTTAACCATGGTAAACATCGAATTTAGTCTTTATGCACAATATCCCATTAGTCAATAACATTCTAGGACCACAAAAAATCAACCTCCTATTAGTCAATATGGTAAACCTCCCTAATTTCCCAAAAATGAACAACCACCTCAACACCCTCCCATTAGTCAATAGTGATAAGTCCACCCTTTTCCTTTTCCTTTCGACAGCTTCTTGAATTAGTTCATAATTCTTTGACTTTTTCGAACTGGAGGAGCTACAGGTTGTTCTTCTGAAGATGCAAGTTCTTCAATAGCTGGAGCTGCTTCTTCTTGAACTGTTGGAGCTGCTTCTTCTTGAACTGTTGGAACTGCATCTTCTTCAACAACTGGAGCTGCTTCTTCTTGAACTGCTTAAGCTGCATCTTCTTCAATAGCTAGAGCTGCTTCTTCTTGAACTGCTCCAGCTACATCTTTTTCAACTGCCAGACCAGCAGGTTGTTCTACTAGTCTTCTTGCTCGAGATTTCTTCTTTGACACGACAACTATCTTCCTCTTACTGGTGTTGGTGGCTGTTTTGGAGCTGTCAGCATGTGCTGGTTGATCAGGAACTAGTGTTGGGTTCTTTGTTGGTGGCCGTTTACGAACACTCTTCTCTGCAGCCACCCTTCTTCTCTTCGGACCAGCCACTTGCGATGTTAGTTGGGTTCTTTTTGGTGCAGCCCTTGACTCTTGGCTTGGACCAACTTGAGATATGAGAACCTCTGAACTCTTTCCAAGCTATAATAACATAATCATAGATGAGAAGAAGCAATATTGTCATGAAAGTGAAAAACTCAAAAATGAAATGCATGAGATGTACAAAATTTATATGCAAAATAGTCATTCCAGTATCGAAATCCGTATAAATTCCATAACTATATTGCCTTAATCTTTTGTCGAGGACCCCTCTTATTTGATATGGTGCCTCACTTTGAGGAACCTAAGCTGCTTGTTCAGTTGGTCTTCTTCTCACCTGATAAGGATAAAACAATGTCAATTAAAGCCAAAGTCTGCTCACCAAAGATTAATACAAATACATATAATGTATAGCTTACTGGATATTTTCTCCTAGCCTATGCAACAGTCGAGGATGAGGTTGCCCTTAAACCTGGGACTCCAGTTGGCTCTTTAGCTGATTCTTAAACTTGGCCTTCAGCAGGCCCTTCAGCTAGACAATCAGCATGCCTGTCAGCTGGCCCTCCAGCAGGCATTTCAGCAGCCCCTTTAGCAGGCCCTTCAGCGGGTTCTTATGCTGGCGCTGCACTTGATCCAATTTGAGTCCCTTCACTTGGCTGTTGAAGCAACATCAGTTGCTTCTTCAAATGACAACCACTTTTGTTGTGACCTTCCTCACGACAATATGAGCATCTCACCTTTGCACCTGACTTGCTCATTTTCTTACTTCCAGGCTCTCCCTATTGCTTTCTCCGTCTCCTTTTAGGCCTTCTTATTTGCTTCTTAAGTGACAAAGGATGAGGGGCTTCATGATTTGTTGGCTCCCAGAATTTTGTACTTCTAATAGGCTGCATCATGTAGTGGTATGCAGCAAGATATGTGCTTTTGTGGTAGCAACCATGTAGGTATTCCTCGGGACTTTGGTACTTCGCTTGGATGGCACAAATGGCATGTGCGCAGAGAATTCCAGAAAGTTGTCAAGCTCGACATGAACACTTTCTTTTGTCCAATTGGACAACATACTTGTCTGTCTTTTCCATGACTTCATAGCCATCATCTCCATTCCAGATAGGATGACAGAACCTACTACTCGCCAAGTTGTCATCCAATCTTTTAGCAATCCTAGGACCACACTGTCTAGTCCACATCGCAGCCTTATCTCTCTGTTTTTGCAGCCTTGTCATGACTATCACTCGAATATCCTCAAGCATGCTGATGATTGGTTTGCACCTCGCCTCTAAAATTATGCCATTGAAGGCTTCACTGAGATTATTATCGATGATATCACTCTTGAATTCTTCACTGAAGAAGGCCTTGCACCAATGATTGGGTTCAGTTTGGAAAAGTGCTTCATAACCGTCCTTCGTCAAGTCAAGCAGCTGCTGTTTGTGAATTCTAAAATCAGCCATGTTAGTGCTCTTAGCTATCATCCAAAATTGCTTCTGTAGTTTCTCCCCTTAGTAGATCTTTGCCCAGTTTGCATATATATGCCTCGCACACATCCTATGTTCAGCAAATGGCATCAACTCAGCTAGAGCAGGAAGAAGTCCCTACAAGAATTCATACATCAAGGCATTAATAAAGGCATGTGCAAGATAAAATATGTCATAAATATTGTTTGTGCAGTTGCACTAGTATTACCTTTTGTTGGTCGTTCATGAATGCCCAACCTCCTCCATTAGTGATCTCAAGGTCCGCCATCAAATTTTTCAGGAACCACGACCAAGGGTCCTTGCTCTTTACCTTCACAACAACCCAAGCAATTGGAAACATCTGGTTATTACCATCCGTCCCAATGGCAGCCAACAATTCTCCCTTGCACACGCCCTTCAAGAAACATCCATATAACCCTATGACTCATCTACAACCAGCAACAAATCCCTGCTTGCATGCATCAAAGCAAATATAAATTCGGTCAAAGTTAGTCCCATGGTTAGGCAGTGGCCACTCCACAACCTCAACATAAACTCGACTAGCCGGGTTTTGTAGCCTACATTCTCCGGCATATTCCCAAATTTGACCATATTCTTCCTTGTACCTCCCTAGAAGTTTTTTCATCACCTTCTGCTTGGCTCTTTTGCACTGATTGAGTGACACATTAATCCCTGCATGCTCCCTCACCAATTGCTTCAGCTGAGGACACTTCACATCAGGCATCACTTTGATGGTATTGAAGAAGTGCTTCGACAACCAAGCACTCGTTACCCTTTTATTGTCAAACATGATGAAACAAGTATGTTCCTCCTGGAGTGACCTAATTTGGAATAACCCATCCCTCTTTGAACGTGCTCCATATATCTTCCACGAACAACTAGGTTGAGAACACTTTGCTCTAACATAGTCCTTCGTATTATGAGTGAACTGAAGACTCCTATGTTCAGCTATTGAATACTTGATAATCCCTTCTTTGAACTGCTTGGCATCAAAAAATTTCTTACCTACAGTCAACACAGAAGAAGAAGAGCTAGGATCATAGAACGGATACTTACGTTTCCTTCTGTGCACAACGGGATCATCATCTTCATGCTGATTTTTAGAACTATCATTTTGTTCATCAGAGCCACTTTCTTCATAATAAGTGTCGTTACCTTCAGCTGGAGCTCCATCAGTGCTATGTCTTGGTTCAGCTTCACGCAATCCTCCAAGTGCAGCTATTGATTTTTTTCCAAATTCACTTTGCTTTTGCATTAACTGTGCAAGTTCCTCATCGTCATCATCACTTGGGAAATTTACAATTGCCACACCATCATCATCTGATTCACTAGATGCAGCAACTTCCCACGACAATCCAGTGAACTCTTCACTCGTTCCATGGCTTGCCTCCATCTCCTCTCTCTCTTGCCTCTCATGTCCAACTTCATCTACAATAGAACTAGCACCAACCTAAGTACTAGGTAAAGCAACACCATCCCCTACGTCTCCTCCCTCAGCCCCTTTATCAGATTCACCATCACTATAGGACTCAATATACACAACAGCTTCTTTTCCATGAAGATAATCGTAGATGATATCCTTAACACCGTTATCATTATGAAAATTTCTAATGTCGTCCTTCAAGCTGTTTCTAGGAACACAATTGTGACATTCTGAATTTCGACCCACTTTCGATATTTATGAAATGATATTATCATCAATGCACTTTCTGTTATATCTCACTCGTAATTGGTCATTCTTGAGAATATTAACCGTTAGGGAATTGCTAGTTAGGATTTCGGTACGCACGACCCAAGAACTCGAACCTAGATCGACACTTCGACCATAAGGATTGACGAGGGGATATTTTGGGCCATTATAGGCCGATCCAAGAATGATTATGGAACAATTTAACAATGTTATACAATTGAATCACGGGTGATTCCGTTTAATCGTTATATGCATTCCGAACGTTCCAAAATCAACTTCTAACGATCGTGTCATTCGGAACTAATGATCAACCCTCGTAATTACATGACAACCGAAGTCACCATGGGTCGAGTAAACTTAAACGTGGATTGATATCAAATCAACCACGGGTCGACACGCGTAAACCCTAAAAGCCGCCCGTTAGTTTGAGATACACGAAAGTCGCGTTTGATCGATTTTAGCCACGAATTGAAATCCAAACTTGGGTATCAAACTTTCAAGGATATCAAAATTATTATATTGGACGACGCCGCGTTAAGCTCGCTTTATTATCGGTTTGCTCAGAAATTCGCGAAAAAGGGAAATTTTGTTCGGAAATTAAAAAAGACGATTTTACCCCCATGTGTTCTAGAGTTTATTTGTTGAGTGGAAGGACATGTTGGTCTTTTTCCCCTAGTGGCCGAAAATCCTCTTGGACAACTTTGCCCTTGCCCTTTTTGGTTATTTACATAATTGCCCTTCTAGAAACCTTTTTGCTAGATGCATTCCTAGCCCTTAGATCAATACTTGGGCGCCAAGGATTCATCCAAGCCCTCCATTTTGAAAGATATGTTTAGCCCTCTCTCTCTCTCCTCACTTCTCCCTTGCTCTTTCTCTCTCTTCATTTTCTTTCTCTCTCCCTCCCCCTTGGCCGAGACTCACTCACCACTGCCGTCCACCACCCTTGCACCTCACGCCACCACCCCTGGACCACCATGAGCCGCCCCCAAGCCGCCAATCATGCCCGGATCAGTCGCCGTTCGCCGAATTGCCGTTTGGCCGTCGCCATTCGCCGGAAATTCCAGATCTGGCCGTGACTTGTGCTGCTGGTTTTGGCTTAGTTCTTAGCTTAAATTAGTGGTAAGTAACTCTCTAAACCTTGATTAGGTTAGTAGGTTACCAATGGATAGTGTTTAGGGGTTGTTATGGTAATTTAGGGATTATTTTAGGGGTTATGGTAGATGCTGAATTAAGGATTTGTTGGTGGCTGGATTTGATGATTATATGGCTGATTTGAATATTAAGATAGGTAGATTATGTGACTTGAGCTTGAGCATATGTTTAATGTTGCTAATTGTGCTTAATTTGGCTAATTATGATTGTTTATTGGTTGTTTTAATTAAATTCGTGGGTTAGTCTTGTGGCTACAATAATCATGTGGTAGTGGCTGAATTGGATGATTTGGATATTGATCATATGGCCCCCATTGATTCTAGATTGGTTAATGTTAATTTTAGAGCTTAATTAACATGATTATGTGCTCATTTTGATCGTACGGTTTAAATTAAATTAGGATGTGATAAAATTTGATCTTATGGCTTATTAGAGATTTGAAGTTGATCGTGTGGCTTTGATTGACATCGCATGGCTAATTAGTCGATTATGTGCCGATTAAATTTTAATGACGATCGTGTGGTGGATTAGTTGTTTAATATCGATCGCATGATTAAATTGTTCAATCGTATGGTTAATTTATTTAATCATGGCTGAGTAGTTGACTATGGCTTGATCGTGTGATTGGAATGATGATTTCGTGGCCTAAAACGAAGATCGTATGGTTGAAATTGATGTTTCATGATTGATCTTACACTTGATGAATAATCGTAGGATTTTAAAAGTGGATCGTGCGGTTAATTGTGGCTATTGTTAGCTTAGCATGACATATCGTGATCATATATTGATGTTTGATACGAAAACGAGTGTGATTCATGGCATATTCATTCGTAGTAAATTACACGTCATAAACACTTGCATTGGCTAATTAAGGAAGATTAAAATTGGCAATGCGTGGTTGTTTACGTGTATGGCCATGATGAGTTCCGTCTAAGACGGGTTCTAGACGATGCCCGGCGGAAGTTCGAATGCTGTCTGGTACCCAACTTGTCGAGGGAGTTTGATCCCAGACATTGCCGATCGCGTTGGAGGCCGGATCGATGCTCCTAAATGGAATGCTGTCCGGTACCCGACTTGTCGGGGGGGTTCGATCCCGGACGTTGCCACGTCCAAAGTAGTGGGTTGATGCTTGGCTATGCCGAAAGACCGGCGGGAGTTCGGTGTGACCTATGGTGGGTCGTTAATAATCTGGACAACTTCGAGTGTTATGTGCATATGGCATGCTTTGCGCTTGATTATGGGATAAAATCGTGAGGCACAGTATGGGATGGGCCGAAGTGATTTCATCTTATAATCGAGACTCGTGTGAATGATTGAGTATGTCTGGATTATTATTATTGTGTTATGCATATTGATAGTATGCCATGGTTGTGATGCAATTCAAGACTTTGCATAGTATGTGGTACCATTATTCGTTTGATAGGAACTTACCCTATTGGTTAGAATTGCATGATTAGGGTGCCGGAGGTGCGTATTGCCCTAGTCGAGACTTAGGTAGTTTACTTATTGAGATTTTATCTCATTCCCCGTTATTAAACATTTCAGTCCCTCGACCTTAATTATGACTGAGCCTCCGCTACGTTTCGGGGTACCAACAGAAACGGAGCATTGGGTGACTAAGTACCCAGTTGGTGAGGATAGGGAGTATCGGAAGTATGAGAGTACAGTTTGGGTCGATGATGGTGAGCAGTACTTGACAGCTCACAAGTATATGGCATGGTTTCTGAGGGATGGAGCTCAGACTCTTGGTCCTCTTCGGGGATTTGATATTCCTCCTGACGATGGCTTAGGAGTGTGGGATATTATGGAGATTGATCCCCCTGATGGAGCTGTTGTTAATCCTGAGTCCGAACCGATGGTTACGGAACCCCCGACGTGGTCCGAGGAGCCAGACCCTGAACCGGAGCCTTTGTCGCCTGGTTCTTATAGCGAGGCATCTGACCCGGCTTCGCCAGGAGCACCGCCAGGATGCTGTGAAGGTTTTTGATAGGGTTAGAGATCCCTATCTTTTTGGAGCTCCTCTTTTGAATAGAGTAGTGGAGCAGATCGACCACCCTATCCCTTTTTTAGTATGTGTGGTCTAAGTTTGTGTCCTTTAGGAAGGCTTATATATGTTATCACTGTATGTGACGTTAAGTTTATAAAATAGTCTGTTGGTTTGTTTAAATTTTCTCTCTCTATTATCCTGTTTGAATGTTTGTTGAATGGAGTGTTCGTTTGGCTTCCGTGTATATTCTCTTATTCGATGGTAATGGGTCGGCGACGAATCCTGGGAGTCGCATTCTTAACGACCGCGGCGGGATGTTACGTGCTCGTAGGGTACGGGGCGCGACATCCCCATTTAAGTGGTATCAAAACAAGGTTAGCTCGATCCATGTTTGATCGAGACCTGGAGTGATAAGGAGCGATAACTTTGGGGTATCTAGTTAGAGAGACTTGCCTTGATCACAAGTTTGTGACGCTTTGTGCGTGCTTTGAGAATATGTGCTTGTGATTGGTAGGCTTGAATTTGCATCATACGGTTATCTGCTTATGAGTGCTGAGTGGTTTAGTGTTATTACTAACATTGTAGGCGCTCCAAGGTAAGATCTAGAACCTTGCTAAGTGTGTACTTATGATGCTTGTTTGGGGTGATTGCTTGCTTACAACTGCTTGCTGTGGTTCGTTGCCTAGAACTGTTTAAGCCGAGTAGTTGGTTTAAGTCTTTAATTCCATGGTGGAATTGTAGCAGGCTTAGGTGTTTGGAGTGATTTCTGTGAGGATGAACACACGGGGTAGAGGAACCAGAGGTGTATCTAGTTCACGAGCCAGAACGGCAGAGGATCCTAGAGTTGATGGAGTTTTAAGGGCTCTAGAGGCGATTGGACAGTTGATAGGCTTGCAAACTCAAGAACGAACGACTAGTGCTGTTGCTGCTGTTGAGGCTACTGCCGTCGCCGCTCAGAATAATCCGGGGAATGGAAATGGAAATGAGAATTGCCAGATGCACAAGTTGGTAGAGCAGTTCTTGAAACTTAAGCCATCAAAGTTCGACGGAAAAGGTGATCCCGAGGTTGCCACTCGATGGGTTGAGGAATTGGAAAAGGCCTTTGCACTTCTGGGGTGCACGAAGGAGGAAAAGGTGACTTTGGTTGTGTATCAACTTCAAGATAATGCTAATGATTGGTGGAAGGCCACCCGAGAAAAAGTTTTCCCGGTGGGCATGGTGCCGAACTAGACCGGCTTCGTCGATACCTTTAATGGGAAGTACTTTTTTGAGAGTGCTCAAGAATAGAAAATGGCAGAATTCTTACGACTTCGCCAGAATCAGATGACTGTGGATCAATATGAGACAGAATTTGCTAGGCTATCGAAGTTCGCACCGAGGATGGTCGAGAATCCTTTGGATAAGGCAAGAAGGTTCCGAGATGGTTTAAAGCCGGAACTTCGCAGCCGATTGATACCTCTGAACCTTAGGGATTACAATGAGCTTTATGAGCGGGCTCAGATGATTGAGAGAGATATGACCGAGAGGAATGCCGCATCTGGATCGCGGTTTATACCGGCTAGGG